TCACTGGTGCGGCCTGGTTCCAAACCAAACCCTAAGTTATGATTTTTTTTTGGGGGGGTGGGGGTTACAAACATAAGAACTCCCTCTGTATTCCCTCACCGCCCTTGCGCCTCAAACCCACTCCCCTTTCAGCCCCGGCGCCTCCCCAGGACTCCGCGGGCCTCGGAGGAGCAGCCCAATTGCAGGCCATTAACTACATGATTATCCTTGACATTACTATTATTATTACTATTTCTAACCCCCATTATCTCTTGCTCTCCGTGCTATTCCCCAAGGCGACTGAGCTTGACCTCAGGTACCTAGAAAACTCGACTCTGGGACGTTAGGAAAAGCAACTAAGGCAGCGGTTGGAGAAGGATAGACAGCTATTCCTTCCCTCAATCCTGGTTTAACTGGCAAGGCGGCGCGTCTACACACACACACACTACACACATGCACTCGCGCAGGAGCGCGCGCACACACACACAGACAACGACGAAGGATGGAGGGCGTGGGTGGTGAGGGCAACTTAGCCCATCACAATCTTTGGAATGTGGACCCTGGGAATCCAACGGAGGGTAGAGAGTCGCCTCATAGTGAGAACCAGGCTAAACCTCAAACCAAACCTATTGACATCCAGTTGATTCTGATTCAGACAGAGTAACTGACTAGAACTGCCCTATAGGATTTGCAAGTCTGTAAATCTTAGGAGGACTGCCCCAGCTGCTTCTGTAGTGGCTGGTGGGTTCGAACTGCCTACTTTTCTAAAATTCTAGCATTTTAACCAATGCGCCATCAGGTCTCTGGCCCAGGTTGTTGCTGTTGTTGTTGGTAAGTGCCATCGAGTCGGTTCCGACCTATAGTGACCTTGTATAGGGCTTTCGAAGAGCGGCTGGTGGGTTTGAACCGTGACTTTGAGCTTCAACCTGACCTTGCAGTCCAGCGCATTATCCTGAAACGCCGCACCAGGATTCCCTGACCCAGGTTGTGGACCCTTAAGTGCTAAGTTGGATCTAGAGCGCAGGGCAGGCTTGATTCGGTACTTTCCCAAGAAGACTTCTGGGGAGGGGGAGGGGAGCTGAGAAAGACCATAGGGGTGAAGAGAGCATCTTTTTCTGGGTCCTCCCGCCTTCCCCTGCCCTATCTCAGTGCTTTTCCCACGCAGAAAAGTCTGCGGCTGGTGGATGCAGAAGCCACGTGAAGTATGTATGAGTGTACGTGAGTATATTGGCATGTAGTGTGTGTGTGTGTGTGCATACGAGCGCGAAAGTGAAGGGGCATCTTCAACTCCGGCCTCGCAGCTGCCCCAAATAATAAGGTAGTTAGGATGGGGTAGTAGGACACAATGCCAAGCAGGAGAAGGCGAAATGAGAATGTGACTCGTCACCTCTTCAAAAAGCCCGTCGGCTTTGGGAAAGAAAACAAACGTGGGAGAGTGACGAGGTGGCCCCAGCGACGAGGTCTCCGAGCAGGGTCGTAAGAGGGGGAAGGGGGATTGTCTCGGCTCCCATTCTGTCCCGCCACAGCACATGGGCGGAGTGCGACGTGGACACTCTAGCTCCAATCGCTCTATAGCCTTGACCATGAACTCGAACCCTCAGGATAGCCTGCTTATGTATGATTTACAGAAGTTCTCATTTGTAACACCCCGTTGAAAGGGCCACCGCTACCTTTTCCTTCCCTAATCGCTGCCCAGTGCGTATCCGGATACGCCTGTGACTTTATGCCTGACTACTTGATCCAGTCTGGAAAGATTTAGATTCTTCCATAAAATAAAAACCCAGCAACAATCCGCTGAGAGAGTTAAAGGAGAGGGCGACTTTTCTCCTGGCTCTGTCTGTTCTTAGCTGCCAGTTAAAAATAAAAACTATTCTTTGAGGTCCGCTGGCGTTAGCAGCAGGGCAAGGAATTTCACGTTTCTGTGGAGCCCGGGTGATATCAGACTATAATCAATCAATCCACAAATATTTCTTAACGCCTACTTTGGATCACTTTCTGGGGCTCATTTCCGTTTAAGTAAAAACACACTCAAGGGTTCAACCAAGACTTGCTGGGGTCTTTAGTTCTTAGATCTTGTCGGCAGGCCTACAGAGGCCTTTGGGTTATTTCGGTGACTTGACGTGGGGGAGGGTAAGACTCGGGTAACTAACGGGTACGTGGTATGTTCCGCACACTAACGAACACGTCTGTGTGCTGGCCCGGGGAGACGCGTCTTCTTGAGACCAGGAGCCTTCCTTACCAACCCAGAGATGAGAAACAACATCACAGAGCCCAGGGAAACCTGAGCCTCGGATCCAGTCTACAATCTGCCCTGAATCTCAGAGTTTTTTATGGAAAATAAGACCACTTGAAATGAAAACATCCTTCTGAAATACAGACAAAAGGGGCTATGGGGTAGGGAAGAGGAGAGAAGGTGCCGGAAGAAAGAAAGGGGGCCGGGATAGCTAAGGGGTGGATGTGCTGGGCCTGGGACTGTTTCCTTTACTCTGATCCCGCCAGGGCTCCGTCCTTCGCAGCCTGCACCCACAGCAGAACAGATGCCGCCTCTGCTCTCGGAGGGACCCTCCTTCCTGCCTGAGACTTAGGAGGGCTGCCCTGAACGAAGCGAAGCTGATATCGATATGTTATCAGTGTGGTAATTAATAATGCAGCAAGGATCACAATAATTAATAATAATGATAGCCCTTTTGAGATGGCTCCATCTGCCTTGGGATAAAGCGACTCTTGTGATGAGGGGGCTTATTAGATGGTGGATAGTGAGCAGTGAGAAGGAAACAGGTTTGGCGCACTGAAGTTCAAGTTGACAGAGATGGCTGGCTCAAACTGTCCTCTGGCCGTGGCAGTGCCTCCCTGCCGGCAGCGAACCACAGCGCAGCTCTCGGTCCCTAAGGGAGGCAAGACAGGCTTCACTCTGTGACTTTGTCAATGCAAGCAGGTTAGGAGGGGGAGAGGGAAGGCGTCTGCATCCCCACCCCCCTGGCGCAGAAGCGTTACTAAGGCGCAGGTGGCTCTAGGACCTCGAGCTGTACAATTTTAACATTTAAAATATTCGTATACTTTTGCCACCCACCCCCCTTACCTCGTCCCTGGGTTTCGAAGAGCCGAAGAGAAAGGTCAAAGGGAGACACTGGGCCACACCATCGGGTCCAAGGCTTGTTTGGACAATGCCGTGGGACGCTATAGTCGGAGAGTGGGAGCCATTTTGCGGGAAAGCTGTTCTGATCCGCCTGAACATCTCAGGCTAGCCTAGAAGGCCGCTCCTAGGCTGTGCGCTTCCTTGCCACGCCGTGCTGTCTCTCGTTTTATTTCCTGGCTTTAATTACAGCCCCAGACCTAAAAGGACCTCTAGTAACTCAGCTCTGGATGTTGTGAGATCTTAAGTCTTCTTGCAGCTTTTCCTGGCCCCTCAAATTAAAAAAAAAAAAAAAAAAAAGCCCCCAAGGCCTTGAGTTGACACTGAAGTTACCCACCCCCATTCCATTCTTCCCTTTAAATTTTGGAGGTTTCAAAGCCAGCAATTTCCATTAAAACAAAGTTTTAAAACATTTGGAAAAGGGCATTTTATTTTTGCATATTGGTTATGACAGATATTTAATGACTCCTTCCCACCCCTCCTCCACCCCAGAGGTGTTCTTGGAGAATTCTAAACTATTTTCATCACAGCTTATTACACATGCAATGAACTCTCCCAAGGATCAGTAACATATGCCAATTATTTTAATAATTTTGCTTAATATTATTAGGGGTTATAAATTTGATTTTAATGGGGAGTTGATTGTTTCAACTGGCACTCCAGCAGCTCCCAGGCCCCTGGGGAGGGCAAGCCCTGCATCTATCACTCTCTGGTCACACTGACACACGTATACAGGAGTATTTCCCTCCTCACTGAACAAGTAAGGTAGCCTAGGGGAGGTCAGGCCCCCACCAGAGCAAGAGAATGTCAGGCTTGGCCTGCTGGGCCCCTGCAACTGTCCACAGGCAGACTGGATGGGGAAAAGGGCAGCTCTCACAGCTGCAGGTCTAATAGCACTGTAGTTCACCAAGACCAAGCCACCCACCATACTTCAACTCTACCAAGGATGGCTGGGCCTCTGGGAACTACAGGACACTCAGAGAGATGAAGATGAAGATGTCTAGTCAGCTCAGGGATTTAAAATTTAAATTTCTCTATTTCCTTCCTTTGATTACTAAAAAGAAGTTCTGCTCAGAACATCTTCTGTTTGAAAACTGATATGTTGCTTTGCAAGATGGGAATGAGAATGTAAAATTAGTGTATATGCTCCACCTCGCTCCTATCACCTGGCAAAATTTAGTCTTCTTATACATGTTGTTTCATTTTATTTTACTAATTTCTTGAAGAGGCTCTTTAGTTTAGGGTCAACAGTCTTTTGCTTTCCTATTCATTCTCTCAAAAGTAAGTGAAAATATGGTCAATTTATCACCTTTTCTTGAACATCCTATGTATTGGTACACAGCAGCTGTGCAGATTTCTAAAGCAAGCTCTGTTTAAAATTTCAAGGGAAAAAAAAAAAAACTTCACAGAAATAAGTCCTTAAACTTTAATCATCGGGCCAAGTTCAAAAACAAAGTACTCAGCTCAGTTTAGAACTTGCAATTAAAAATAACTGTACCTCAGCTTTTCAGGAGAGAGAGAGAAAAGGGGGCAGGGAATGAGGAAAACAAAGAATAAGGAAATGTTTAGTGCACTTAAATCCAGTCCAAATAGCGGAAAGAAAGGCATTCCCTCAGATAATGGAGTCATTAGGAACTCTGAACATTCTCGCAGCCATTCTTCACAGAGCCTTTCCAAAAATTTAATTCATTCTCAGCTACTAAACAAAGAATGTAGAAAATAATTTCGAGACTTTCTGCCAGTTTGGCTGTGTTTCTATGCATACATACACCTTCCTCCCCAGAATGGGTGGTGGGGCCTCCCATTCACTCAGGCAAGATGATCCATACCCTCAGCTTCTTTTTTCCAGTTTTCCTTTAATTAACCATCTAGAAAAAAATCATGTTCATGCAGTTTCAACACATTTTATTATATTTCTGTATGCATTACTCTCAAAACATCACAAGAAATGATCAAACCACTTAAAACCTTCAAATAAAAAATCTGAAACAGTTTATGCCCACAAGTGTACATATTTATAGTTAAGAAACATTCTTTATAAATATTGTTTCCTCTGTAGCAAGTTAATACCATAATTTAATTACAAATGGATAAATATGGTAACGGGTATTTACAGAAGGAAGGGTGTTATTACGGAAAAAGCTAACCGCACAACGTTTATTTCCCCCCACCCCCCACAATCTTTCATACAGGAACTAACAAATTGAACTTGCAAAAGCACTAAACATCACATGTAAACCCAGCTAACAGAAAAATACATTCACAAGCATTGGTGGTGGTAGGATGTGTGTGCTATGGATTGGTGTGCTGGACGAACAGAAGGGAGACTTTGGCACGGTTCTTTTTTTTTCCAGTCTGTAGTTGCATGAAGTGTACAATCAAGTTGCCTCATAAAAAGGAACACAATATTCTATACCACAATACAAAATAAGCCATTTTCTTTCACATTACTTTAAAAAACAAAACAAAACAAAACAAAAAAAACCCGGGGAAAACGAAAGAGCAAAGAAAAAGTCCATCACTTGGGGAAGGAGAGGGAAGGCAGGAAGGAACGCAATTGGAGCTTTACAAACAGACAAACTTCTATACACCAAGAATCCATTAAAACCAGCTCAGAGAAAGGAGGAGGAGTTTGCTATGTACAGCTTGTCAGAAACTGGGAACAGGGTGTGGAAGGAAAGTAGGCATGGAGAGGAACAGGCGGTTTGGTTCAATACATATATTTTAAATTAAAATTTTTTAATTATAGTTTTAGTCTTCAAAGATTTCGGAAGTGACATTTTACTTTTCATGCCTAGATTTTTAAAAAACCAAAACATACCCTTAAAAATCCTTCTGCTGGTAAAATAATTTTCGTTATCATAAAAATCAGATTCATAATTATAACAACACGATGATTGATCACAAGTACCCCTTGGCGCTAACTCCTGAAAGGACTGAATATGTCAGGGTCCAGGGCCCAGGGTCGGGGTTGGGGAGAAGAAGAGAGGCCCAAGGCCCTTCACACGTACCATTCATTGAAGTTGGAGGAAAGGCCGCTATGGCCTCCGGCTGTCCCGCTGCCCCCACTGGAGCTGCCACCGCCCCCGCCACCAGCCCCGCTGCCGCCACCCCCACCGCTGCTGCCACTACCGCCGGAGTTGCCACCACTTCCTGAGCCTCCGCTCCGGTGCACCGCAGATACGGCGGCCGCTGCCGCTGCAGCCGCTGCCGCTGCCGGGGACAGATTGGAACTGCTCTGGGGATCGGCGCTGGGGGACACCAACCCAGGAGGTGTGGAAGACTCATAGCCCGAGCTGGCGGCCGGGGAGGACTCAGAGCCCTGCGGAGAGGACTCATGGACCTGCAAGACAGAAGCCAGAAGGGGAGACCAGAGGGGGCTGGGTGTGAGTGCAGCTGCTGTGAGACTGAGTCCTTGAGAAGGAGGGGCCCCTAGATGACCATCAGGCCTGGGCCCTAGGGGTCGGTTGGGAACCCTTACCACATGGTCAGTCAGCCCCTCGCCCTCCTCCCAGCTGCCCCGGTGATACCTTCATGTGCTTCCGTAGTGAGCTGGGGTGCGTGTAGGACTTATCACACATCTTGCAGAGATAGGGCTTATCGGAGGTGTGGACGTGCATGTGTTTCTTCCTGTCGCTGCTGTTGGCGAAGCGCCGGTCGCAGCCCTCAAACTCACACTGGAATGGCTTTTCCCCTGCGGAAGGCAAAACACGGTCACTGGCTGCTGACACCCATTGCCCTCGGAAACCTCCACCCAGGCTGTGAGGGGGAGAAGGAATTCCGGGAAGGGGTAAGGCAAGAGAAAGGGAGGGAGTTGGGTCCCTTAAACAGTGGGATCCCTTCCATAGCAAACCCAATATTAACTTCCTTCCCAGACAGTCCTTCTCATTTAACACACAAGTTTATTCCAAACTAATTTCTAATGAATTTGGGGTAGTGCAAAGCCTGCCGGCTTTTCTATAGGATTTCTTGGATTCGCAGCTTCTAACAAGTTGGTCTCGCCTTGGAGAAGCTGTTATTATGACAAAATATTTGGGGCATTATCAAAATCACACAGCCTGCTGGGCTACTACTGTCGGTTTCTCTTTAGGGCCAGTAGGCAATTATATTTGGAGCTGCTGTGTGTTGTTTGGGGATGGGGTTGTGGATAGTGGCTGTGCCAGTATTTTTACATCCAAAATGCTGCAGATTGGAATAACCACAACTTTAGCTTCACCTCTAGTCTTTAAAAATAAATTTAATAAAAGGAAAGGCAGCATCTAGTGATGGCTGAAAAGCACAGCCTGTGGTGTGGGGGTGGGGGCGTTATCAAAGGCTTTCAAAATCTCCCTATTTAATTTTCTGGCGGTCCCCGCATCCTGTTGCCAGAATTCCAAATGCTTGGAGTCATTTAGAGGTGTGAGAACTCAAAGCAACGTTCCACTAGGAAAGGGGACTATTTAACATTAGATTCCATTAGCACCTATATTGTTTTTTAAAGACATCCGCTCGAAAGCGAGCATTTCATGCAAATAAATTTCTCAAATTTTAAACCTTGTTAAAAGCTTGTCTCGCACCTCAGCTCCCTCCCTTCCCGGAAGAGAACAATAGGCCGCTGGCTCATCCCCACTTTGGAGTAAATATTGACAGGAGAAGTTGTTAAAATATTTGGCTTTCTCTTAGGAAATCGTCTGGCACGATATTGGCTGAGACCTGGCCATAGATGAATAATCTATGAGGCAGGAGGCACGTTCTTTTGCGGCTTTCTGTTCCTTACGCGATCGACCCCGGCGTGGTCTCACTGCCCTCGGCTCTAGCTAAGTGGGTCGTGGATCCAAGTTTGGTATCTGAAACCCTCTGATGCTCATTAGAGAATTTCACAGACTGCTGTGAGACCACCGTAAAGCCTAGAGACCCACACCAAAACGGGCTTTAAAAACACTTTAACAATTGTTTCAGACTCATTTAATATTAATAGAAACCAGTCCCAGACAGGGCGTTTGGACCCCAAGTAAATAAGTGAGAAAACATAGGACACTCTGACATACACCCGGAGCAGAAAAGCACATTCAGACAAGCTGGCAAAATCCTCTCTAGGCAGGATTCCCGGGCACCGAGGGAGGAAACAATTTTATATTGTGCATTCTATTTAGAACGGAAACTATTATCCAGGACTGAGCAAACGAAGCAATTCCATCACCTAAAAGTACCCGTTAAATATTTTACTACTCATTTAAAACTCAGTCTCCTCAAAGGAAAAACCTCACCCAAAGATTCTTTCATTCTCCAACAAAAAATAACCTGCTGGCTCTCTCCCACACACAAAAACATCTACCATCCCCGGACAGGGCTGGCGGCCGGCACGTTTTTTCCTCCCAGCAAAACAGCCACAGCCTCTCTCCTATCTGTCGTGGCCCGCGGTTACCTGTGTGGGTCCTTTTGTGGATCTTGAGGTTTTCCGAGCGCGCGAACACCTTGCCGCAACCCGGGAAAGGGCAGGGAAAAGGTTTCTCGCCTGTATGCACGCGGATGTGGTTGACCAGTTTGTATTTGGCCTTGAAGGGCTTGCCCTCGCGTGGGCACTCCTCCCAGAAGCAGACGTGGTTGCTTTGCTCAGGGCCGCCGACGTGTTCCACCGAGACGTGGGTCACCAGCTCGTGCATAGTGCTGAAAGTTTTGTTGCAGCTCTTCTTGGGGTTACTCAGTTGCTCGGGATCGATCCACTTGCAGATGAGCTCCTGTTTGATACACTGCTGTCGCATGTATCGGAAAAAGGCACCCGGATGGTGGTGATGGTGGTGGTGGTGGGCCGCGGCCGCTGCCATGTTCATACCCATGTTCATATTCATAGGGCCATACTGGTTGTGGAGCTGCGCCGCAGAGTAGGGATCGGTCCGCGGGCTGGCTACCTGACGGTACTGTTCCGAACGTCCGAATACCTCGCCCGGCAGCCCGAGGCGCATCTGCCCGTTGAGAACATTCTGCGAGCCGTGCGGCCCATGCTGCTCCGGGAGGCCAGGGAAGAGGAGGTGGCCCTGCGCGTCCGAGTGCGCGTGGTGCAGGCCTCCCGCTCCCGGCCCGAACAGCCCATGCTGCCCGCCGCCTGGCGCAGAGTCCCCAAAGCCGCGACTACGGAACAAGAAGTCCCGGGTGGTGTTGAAGGGCGGCCCAGAGTAGGAGCCTACGTGTGCTGCATGGGGCCCGAGCGCAGCCGCTGCTGCAGCCGCGGCAGCAGAACCAGGGTAGGCGCCAGGGCCCTGCGACGTGAATGCCGAACTCTGGCCCGGGGACAGTTCGTGCGCGCCCGGGTTGAGCTTGAAAGCGCCCATGTGTGCGGCCGCCGAGTCTACGAAGCCGTTTTGCGCCGCTGCTAGGCTCAGTTCTCGATCTTGCATCTCGGCGGCGGCCGCAGCCGCCGCAGCAGCTGAATGGTGATGGTGGCGCGCAAAGCTGCCCACCCCGATGGCCGGGAACTGCGGCCCCGCGTCCAGGAGCATGGCCAGCTCGCCCGCCCGCCCCGCCGGCCCCAGTGAGTCCTGCACCTCCGCGCTGCCCCGGGTCTTGCTCTACTCGCTCTGCGTCCGGCAGTCGACTGGCTCTAGGCGCAGCCGGTGGTGGCGGAGGCTTCAGCCCTGGGAGCCGAGCTCCAGCGCCCGCCGACTCCGCCGCTGCAGCCTGGATCTGCCTCTGGCGGCCAGGCGCGGAGAGAAGACACCAAGAGGAAGAAGAGGAGGAGGTTGTGGTGGAAGAGGAGGCGCGGAGGAGGAGGTGGAGGAGGAGAGGAAGAGTCCAAAGCCAGGCGGAGAACCAAAGTGTATTAAAGGAGCTGCGGCGGGGGCGGGCGGGCAGGCAGTGCAGGGGAGGGAGCAGGAGGGAGGTGTGGGGAGCCGAGCCGAAAAGAGAGGGGGGACGCCGGGGGGCGAGCGCAGAGCCCGGGCTGCGCTGTGGCCCCCACCCCTGCGCGCACCCGCGCGCGCAAGAACACACTCACTTGCTCGCACGCCCGGCGGACCAGGGGGTCCGGCCGCGCAAATCGGTACTGGGGGGAGGGGGGAGGGAAATCACAGCAGCGGTGAAGGCACGGAGTCCAAGCGTGGCGGCAGTGCGGCAGCAAGAAACGCGGACGATGAGAGGACGCAGGCGAGTTCTGCGTTGGGCGCCCCAGCCAGGCGTTCCCGCGGCTCCACCTGACCGCTGCGGGGGCGCCGGAACGGCGGGCGGAGGCCAGGCGCCCTCCTCCCCGCTGCGCACTTCGGCGGCCTCTCCCTCCCCCGAAGCCCCGCTCGCGCCGCCCTGCTCCGGGCGGTTATTGTTCCGCGCTAGGACCGCGATGTTTATTCCTCCTCGTCCTCAGTGTTTGGCATTGGCTGCGCCTAGCGTAGTAAACTTGCAGCGGCCACGAATTACCCCGACGAAGCAGCCGCGCTGCTCCCTCTTTCTTTAAGTTGTGCCAGAGGAGGAGGCGGAGGAGGAAGGGGCTGTGGGAGGGGAGAAGGCAGAGAGGGGGAGGGGAAGAGGGGGAGGCTGGGCTGAAAAACAATAACAATAAAAAGTGATCTCTCTCTCGCTTCCTCCTATCCGGAGTCTGCCCTAGGCGCCTGACTAGGATCGAGTGGCCGCACCCGCGAGAACGTAGCGGAGTTCGCTGACTGTCCGAACAAACGTGAGGAGGCCGAAGCAGGTTTTCCTCTCTTTGGGCTGCGGTGGGCTCTGTGTGTCACTACCTCCTCCGCCTTTGTTTATTTCTGTGGGCGCCGCATCCGCAGTTTTTTATTTTTATTTTTTGTCTCCTCCTTTTCCTTTCCCCTTCCCCCTCCCCTTCTAGTTCTTCTCTGGCCTCCCTCCCTCGTTCCCTTCAGATCCCAGCCGGGCATCCTGGTCACACCGCCCCTTTAACAGCGGCTCCCTCCCCGCTCGCTTTCCCGTGGCAGCCATTGGTCGCCTAGTCAATTCGAAGCCCCCGCCCCGCGCTGGGCCAGTCCCTCCTTCCCGGCGCTCTCCTCAGCCCCAACTATGGGCTAGCGTGGCCGCTCGCTGGACTCGCTTGCCTCCCGCGTGTGGCCCGCGCGCTGGGCGCTCTTGTTCCTGGTCCTGGTTGGCTACGGCGTCTTTGGAGTTGGGCGGCTTACGTTGTGCGGCCGGGCTTTGGGGGTCCGCACCGCCTGGACTGTGCCTGGTCCTGTAAGGGAACGCCATCAATCGCTCGCACCCTTCTACAGAGTTCTCCCGAGGGATCTCAGCCGCTCCTAGCGGGCAATTAAAATCCGGGGGACGATAGGCCCAGCCACCCGTAACTGTTCTACAGGTCACTAGACTGGAGACACCTTGTTCAGGGACACTGGACACCCAGGACCCCACCCGGAGCACGCCGCTGGAAGAGTCTTGGGGCCCCCTCTCTTGACCCGTGTCATGCTTTCTACATCCCCTCTTCCTTTATAAACTTGCTCTGTGCTGTTGAAAACACAGGTGCAGGACGGTGGGCAAATATTGCCTCTTTCTGTCATCTACTGGACATTCACCCAGACACCGCCCCCTATGGCCTCTGCCCCCCGCGGGTGTCATCCTGCTCGGGTTACAGCAGTAAACACTGGGCTGCGGGCTCACGAGGCTAGGGCTTGTTTGTAAGTGGTTTTAAAGACAGTCTCACCCTCTAGGTTGGATGCCCAGAAGCCCGGGTCGCTGCCACAGTGGGGTGGAAAGTGTGGTAAAGCCCCGAGCCAAGGGAAACTCAGGCTGGAGCTTGGCTGCGGGTCGGGCTCAGGGCCTTAGGAAAAGATGCCTGAACTCTAGACTTTAAACCTTCTCAGATGGTTTTTATCTGTCCTTTCCCGAGAGCGAGGAGCGCCCCCTCCTCCGGGCAGCGCAGGGAAGGCAAAGTTGCTTCCCGCGCTGCGACCGCTGGAGTCCGGTCAGCTAGCCGGCTCTGCGGCCGGTGTCTCAGGCTAGCCGAAGTGGACATTTCCTGTCCCGCAGCGCAGAGCTAACTCTCCTGGGGTAGTCAGAGGGCGAAATGGCCAACCTCAAGGCGGAGGAGGTGTGAAAGGAGGGCCTGAGGCCAGCTTCTTTCTTCCCTTGGCACTTGTCAATTGCTTTTATTTGTGAATCTCTAGGAGTTAAAATAAATTTAGGTACTCGAAAGCGGCCAATATGTATTTCAAATTTCCATGTTGAAATAAAATAAAAAACGCGGGAAGACTCTTATCTCACTCACTATTGCTGGCAGAACCTGGGACTCTGGCGCAGGCCGAGTCTCTCTCCGCTTAGGCGGATGTCTGAAGGGAGGAATTGGCCCAAGCCTCTCACACAAGAAGCCTTGTGCCCTCCGCTGTTCGACACTCACCCCCCCTCCCCACCCCCATTCCCAGGCGTTTGGCAGGGGATGGGGTGTAAGCAAGAAAGGTGGAGGCCGCATCTTGTCTGAAGGCCTCTGTGTGTGTGTGTGTGTGTGTGTGTGTGTGTGTGTGGTGGGGGAAGGAGTGCTCTTGAAAGCTGAAGATCCTCGACTTTACTGAAAAAAAGAAATTTGCGTCGTTCCACATCTATGTAAACGGAAGTGGAGAAGCCGCTGCCAAACTAGCCCTCTAGACAGAGAAAAGAGAATTTACAGGCAGAAAGACTGCACTGATCAATTAAAAATAGTCCAGCACACCGCTTTTTACGCTTGTTTTCTTAATTTATATATTTGTCACCTTATATTAGGAAGGGATAAGGAGAGACTAATTCGAAAGGCTTCCTCAACAGATGTTTACAAAAGAAAATAGTTTAAGTCTTAGAGATTGATTCTGATAATAGTAACCCTACACATCCAAAGACTTGCCTCTCTTTCTCCTAGCAAGCCACCTGACCTCTTCAAGTTCTCCTTCTTTGCCATTTTTTCACTTCCTCCCTTGCACCCCCCCCCCCCCATTCTTCCCTCCCTTTTCTAAGACCGTTTTCGTCTTTCGCTTTGTTTCCTCCTTTTCTCTGCCGGTTCTTGGGATGGCTCTGCTGGGCGCTGTGGCTCGTGCTGGATTCCGTGAGCTGCGTGCGGCCGGGTGGTGGGGACGCGTTAATTCCCGCTGGAGACCCTAAGGGCTGGGCTCTCTCGGCTATTCTTTCCTGGCTCTAGTTCTCCTCTCTCTGCAGGACACAGAGGAGCTGAGCCAAGTTCAAAGTCACTTCGCCTCTCAGAAGTGTTTTATTTCTCTGCAAACCGCAAACCCCTTTCCCTCAAGACACAGGTTTTTTTGTTGTTGTTGTTTTAAAGGGAGGAAAGGCAAATAAAAAACCGTAAATAGACTTGAGTTTCTTCGTGAAGGAAGTGACAAAATTGCGTTACAGCCGGTGTTAGTAAATTCAAATTTTCAACAGGTTTCTGGAAGGGCCGATTTGAGGTGGTGTCTTCAACGGGTATACACGCCCCTTTATAAGTTTTTTAAGATTGTTCTTTCGAAATCTCATGGAGCTTCCTTTGGGGCTGGGCCGGAAACGGGGGCTGCGTGAGAGGTGTCACTCTACATGGGAAGGGTCTGCTTAGCTGGCCCATGCGATGAACTGGCAGGCGTTCATTCTGGGCAAGTGGAAAGAGCGATTAAGAAATTCGAGTTGTCTTCCAGAAGTAGAAAATTCCACCAAGCACCCGTGTATTCATCAGTTGTGCACCCCCTTGCCGTTTGTGAATGTCTGTGAACAGCGTGGACTGACTTATTTTATAGTATGATGTGTATTTTGTGTACGAATATCTAAATGAAGTGTCTATAAGCATACAACATACTCTATCACACACAGGTATCTATTGCAGGCCAGTAAAAACAAACAAACAAACAAACAAACAAACACTGAAACAAAACAGACCTTTAAATTGGAAAGCAGGAACACTAGGTTATCTACCATTCAAATTTTTTATTTTCTTCTAAAGGTTGGAAATGGGAGTCTGGAACTCTGGAACAATAGATAAACAAATATTGAATAAGCTGTCAGTGTAACCCAGACCCTCCCCAAAAAAGGATTTCATAGGATTCTAGCACCATAGTCTAAATCACAGACTCATACATTTAAGTAATATCATCAACAGGATTTTAAGTTACAGGTCACCTTTAAATCGGCCATTGCAGCCACTCCTGGGCTGGACAATTCCTGACCCATGAAAGACCACATGTGTGGTGGGAGAGCTCCCTCTGTAAAATTCACCTAAAACAAGTTTTTTGTCAAGGCTTTAAGGAAGTGTAATGTAAAAGAAGGGGAGGGAAATCATGAAAATCTCAGCCAACGTTGTAACTTTTAAATACCGTTTTTAAGAAGGAGGAGGTGGAGTGGAAGTGGGAGGTGTCATAGGATAAGGCCCTCTCTAGTCATATAAAAGGGTGTCTTTTCTTCCTACAGTTAAAATTCACTGTTCTGTAACTGCACTGATAAAAAGTCTATATAAAATATGTTTCCCAGTAGTTTAGTGATAGAGATGCAAACATCTGTGTATATCTCAAAAGAAAAGAAAAAAAACAAAAGAAGACACCAGCTGCCCCTGCCTTTACTACTGCTTTTGTTGTAGTGATTGTAGTTTTGCAAAAGGAAGACAACTAATGCCCTCACTTTGGTGCCTCTTTCCTGATGAGAGGGTTTCTACCACTACTAAAGTAAAAACAAACAAAAAATTAAAACCAGAGGCATTCACTTGTACTAACGTATTTAATAATTCTGAGTATTGGTATCCTTTGGACTTCCAGGTGAACTACATCCAGGCATGCTGAATACCAGTGACAGGTGAGCAGCTTTCCAATAAACTGCTGTGTCATTGCAATAGGCTTTGTAATACAATTTATGCTGTCATTCATAAATAACAATGCCTTATGTCAACCATATTGCATATACTAGTAAATCCATCAAAGTGTCACTATTTGATTTATCCCAACAGCTTCTTCAACTATTGAAGTATAGATATTGGAAGGGATATGGGAGGAGAAGGGGGACACTCCCCACGAATTTGACATGAAAAAAACTTGTGCAACCTTTATTTCTCCCTTATTTCCCCATTTAAAAAAAAATCCTAAAGGATAGGGAATGAAGGGGAGGAGAAGCACATATTGGGGCCAATATAAATAAATATTGGGTGGTTATATGAACCATGAACATGTAAGGGGAATTCCGTGGTTCTTTTTTTGATGTTCTGAGCATTTCAAAACTACAATGGTGCATTTCCTTAGAAATTACCAGTCCTGATAATCAAATGGACTCCTGGTGTGGCACTGTAGGATCAGTACTGGACTGGCAACCACAAGGTAGACAGTGCAAACCCATCAGCTGCTCCTCAGAAACCCTATACAGGCTCCCTATGAGTGGAACCAACTGGCCAGCACTTAGCAATAGTCAAATGGAGTCCTGGTGTGGCGCTTTAGGATAAGCACTGGCCTGAAAGGTCAGCGGTTCAAACTCACCAGATACAGGGTCACTATGAGTTGGAACTGACTCGACAGCACTTAACAACAACAATGGTCAAATGTAGTTCAAGGGCCTTTCTCCAACAGCCCCAAACTGCAAAGGTATAACTGACCGATAAACAAAATAAATCACTATATTTAATGACAAGCGAATTTTACTAGGTTAGATTCTTTGCTGTTATAAAAAGAAAAACTGCCCAGAATCCAATGTCTCTGTCATTGCCACACAGCCTCAATCTTCTGCTTTCGTATTCGTGTTAAGTGCATGGACATGTGGCAGGGATCATAAACTTTAGCGAGAAACCCATTTTTGATTACTCTTAGTCCGGAACATATCTGGGGAGGCGGAGGATTCACTGTGAGCTCAGAACAGCGGGAGGAAGGGCGATCCTGGAGCAGCAGTTCAGAGGATGGCGAATTGCGGGGTAAGGAACCCGTGAACACCCTGGGTCCAGTTTTAACCGCGCACAGGTCAGATTGCGAGGGCAGAAGGAGGTGGGGGGAGGGAGAGGCGTCCCCAGACCGCAAACGCCTAGATTCCTAAAGAGCCTGAGTTCAATGGGTTTGGATCTTGAACCTAAAGTCCCCATCACTTTCTGCTGTGACAAAGCTCGACTAAATTGCAGCTTTTCGGGCTCCTTTACCCATCCTGCTTTAGAGAGGTCTCAATGGACCACTACCCTCTTATCGAGCATCCATGTACCCTTTTAAGCTGGACTTTAATGATCCTTCGATCCCTCTGCTAACCTAGAACACCCGGTTCGCCCTTGAACCTGCCTACATCACGGTCCAAATGGCACTAGGCGTTTAGAGCCCGCTGGACACCCAGCTCTTCTGCAAGGAGGTCGCCTTCGGAGGAACCACACGAAATCGGCAAGTCGTAAGCAATTGCAGGGGCAATAAAGGACGGCCTGTTGTGTCCCCCAGTTCCTTTTCCACCCCATCTTCCAGAGATTCCTCCTCCCCTCCCAGCCTACAGAAACAATCAAACAAAGGCTCAAAAGCCAGGAAATGTCCAATTCACTTCCCTTCGAGTTTATTAATTGCCCAAACCCATCGCAAGGAAGCTTGGCTATGTTCAGTGATCATCACCAGAGACCTGTGGATCCGCAGTCCTGCCCCACCCCCATCCCTCATCACCACCCCACGCAGCGGGCAGTCCCAAGCGCCAACCCCTGCATCCCCAGAGAACTGGTCCTGTAGCCTCTAGGTAACCGAGAGCGGCGTTAACTGCCGAGTTCGGGCCAGCTCGTCGCTTGCTGTTCCTCTCATCGCCCCATCCTTCCTTGTGCCATTGTTTGGGGCTGGAATAAGGTTAGGGTCCGGTTGTAATGGAGAGGTCTGAAAATCCATTTACCTAGATCCCCTGTTGACCACAGAAAGGGCATTTCCATGACTTGTCCTGTTGCTACTCCACCTTCTCCGGCACCTCTCCTGCCAAAGTGCACACTGCTACGTAAGTTTTGCGGATGGTCGCTGAGAGCCACCGTCTGAATATGGGGTTAACGCCACAGAAAGAAAAACTGGCATCTAGATCCCGTTTTTATTAGCATTATTATTGTTTTCTTAAACGCCTTGGAAATTGTTGATGTTTATTTAGGAAGTGTGGCGCAGTTATTGCTTCTTAGAAACTCGGAATGTTAAGGGGGTTTGATTTGACTTTCAATTAGCTTGAAAAAGAAACAGCGCACCTGGGGTCAGGCGGGTCATCACAATAACAAAAAGCGCGTCTACAAAATAAAAAAGCTCTTTTATAAAGAAAGGCAATCCCGGAAATCCATGGAAAGCCTTCTTGATGACCATCTAGCTAGGCCTATTCTCAGGTTTAATTGGCATGCAGTTTATTGGCGCCTTATTGGTGTTGATTGAAATTTTGCTCCCAGTCTTTTCTTTCAAGAATTAGCATCTCAAGTCGACTTACCTGAGTCAATTATCTTTTTAGGGTCTGTGTTTGGTCATAAATTTGCAAATATTCATTAAACTTACTTAGTAAACATCCCTTCTCCCAATTCTACTCAAATCTCTATTATTTCCTAAGAATGTCTTTTCTTTTTAAAGGTTTCCATAAAATAAATTGATCAGGGAGCTATATTTGAATTAAGACATATTAAATCGATGACAGATACATATCACGCTGTGTTTAACAAGAGTTGTACAAGGAGGCGGGTTCCAGATTCCACACGGCTCTGTCGCACCATTATTCACATTTTTACAGCCTTTCCTTCATGCCTTCACCCATTAAACCATTAAATTTCAGCAATTCAATAAAACAAAGCAGTTATAATTTTGAGGAAAAGCTATTTCAAAGGGGGTGGAGGTACTCATTTTATTACACAATAAAAACACTAAAGAGTCTATATTAAAGGCTAGATTGTGTTTCTCTTTTTTTTAATTGCTTTTCTTAAAATTTATAATCTGCAGGATTGAACACAAAACTGCCATTACCTAAGTATTATCACTCACTGTCAAGAAATTCAAGTCAAGGATGCACATTTAACTGTCCTTAGGAAATGAAGACCTTGGTGACAATTCTACATAAACCTTCCAGAGGACAGGGTCCTCACTCACTCTTTGCCTGATTGGCCTGAGATATTAAGTCTTTGAAATGAAAATTGTGAGAGGATTCTTTTTCTCCCAATATAAATGTAGATTTTGCCACTATTGTTTATGTAAAAGTTTTTCATTGTTTCCACTCATGCCTTTATTTTTCCATATTTGAACTTCAATAGCTTACAGGAAAAAGCCCACTTGAAACTTGATTGTAGAACTTTCTTTGTTGCTTGTCAATTAATATAAGAAATGTTTTCAAGGATCACCTAGAGGCTCCCTGTTAAACACTGTTCCCATCAGTGTAAATGGTGTTACCGAATCAACTCTTTAAAAAATATTTCTTATAACCTCCCAGGACCATTTCTCAACTGATGGATCTGTGCAGTCTATTTTTACTTGGACATCAAGCAAATTAAGTTGGTAACATGTCTTATTGCATCCCTCCCCCCCGGCAAAAAAAATTAGTCTAGTTGTCATTGTCACTTAAAAAAAAAAAACATACACAAGAAAATACATTATGGAGGGCAGCAAACCCCCTAAGGAAAATAAAAGTACCCTGACTTTAATTTTTTGAGCACTTTGAATACTATTTTTTAAATTTTAGAATACTTAAAAAAAGAAAACTGAAATGACATTTGTAAATAAAACCCCTAAATTTATCAGGGGGAGCTTCTCATACTTCTCTACTCCCAAAAAAGTGACCACAAGGACCTAATTCTAGTTTTTTTAAAAAACTGACATGTTAGTAGACAGTTTGAAAGGGATGAGGTTAGCTGAACAAGAAAACAGATGCTTTTATGGTTTTCCAGTATGATTTTCTCTTTTATCGATTTATTAGAATATGAGAAGATTAAATTTTGTTAGCAAATAAATAGCAAAGACCCTTAAAATTTTTACGTGATTATTTTTATTAGGTCAATTCTAATACGCGGACCTTATACAAACACACACATACATATGTGTTCTAAGCCAGAAAGAGAAATTCTGATTCCCTTTGGAAAGTTGTTGTTTGGCTTGCCCTGCTCCAAAAAGCAAGTTACAATTGCTGCCCGATGTCCCTCTCGCTCCTGGTTACGGTAGTCTCAATGGAAAGAGGCAGATCTGGAACCCATGAGCAGTCAGATTACATTTACAGCCAATTCCTTTGAACCATGTTGAAAAGGATTCCAGGAGTTAAAAATGGAGGTAAAACGGGAAACAGTTTGACGTCACCAGGTGTTTTGTGTAGCCAAATTATTCATGTTATTTTGCAACCAATGGTTAAGAGCCTTCCAGTTGGTTCCGACTCTTAGCGACATGTGTAGGGTTTTCCGAAGAGCGGCTGGTGGATTTGAACCGCCGACCTTAAATAGCCTTCATTTTGGTTTTTTGTCCGTGCACCCCAAGTGTGCGCTCGGCAGATTGGATGTTCCCAAATATGTAGTTTTCGCATCAGCGCTTCAGATATGATGGAGGCAAACATCTGTTCACCATCTCCCCAAAGAAGGAGGTGAAAAGAGTTTGGGTGCTGGAAGCGACCCAGCGAGTGGTGAGCCGAGGGTTTAGGGATCTCCAGCTTCTAGTCACCCGGCGCGCTCCTGCAGCGTGCAGGTGAATACTCTCTGCGACGCGCATCGCGGGAGCGCGGGACGCAGCGCGCGCAGGCCCAGCTCAAACTTTCTGGAACTGCAACTTGGGCATCCCCGGGGAGGCGGGGACGCGGGGTTCCGGGGAGAGGAGGGAACGCGAAGTGAAAGCGAAGGCGGCCCAGAGCACGCGGGCGATTTCCCGCTGCGCTGAGAGCCTGAAAGGGAGCCAATCGGGCAGTCGCAGCTGCTGCCAATCACGCTGCTCCCTCCAATCCCACCCGTGCCATTTCCAAAATCTCGGTCCCACTGTGCAACTCAAATGTGGTGTACGCTCTGCCAATCGCTGGAGGACAGAGTGGGAGCAGGAATAAGCAGAGTTAGGAGGGGAGGACAAAAGTTAAAGAGCGCCTAATATATACATGTTTTTGAAGGCGGATAGAGGAAAAAAAGTCCTCCCAGTGAGGGTCTATGAGCCTGATTATGTAGTTCTGATGGAGCCCCCTTTGAGCAAGAAGAACCCGTCAGAGCTGAGATTAGTGGATTTGGCAACGGCTAAAGGCCAGCCGCTTCAGAATATGACAGGCTTCCCGGCGCTGGCGAGCCCGCCCGCCCACTCCCAACTCCACTGCTCCGCAGCGCACCTCCACCCGCAGGACCCGGGGGCTGACCCCGGTGTGGCCGTCTCTCCGCTCGGACCTGAGCACATGGCCCTGGCGAGTGCTCTCAGCCTCAGCCTTCCCTCCCAGGCGCTCTCAGCGCAGCGCGAGGCCCCGGGTGCCGCCGCCAGCGCTTCAGCCGCCGTTGTACACTCCGGCGCCAGCATCTACCCCGACAGCGGGGGCAGCAGCGGCGTCCAGCCCTCGGCGCCCCCGCCCCCAGCCCCTCCTCTTCCTCCCTCCCCTTCCCCCCCTCCTCTTGCCCTCTCGGGCTACACCACCACCAACAGTGGCGGCGGCGGCAACAGCGGCAAAGGCCACAGCAGGGACTTCGTCCTCCGGAGGGACCTTTCCGCTACGGCCCCCGCGGCGGCCATGCACGGGGCCCCGCTCGGAGGGGAGCAGCGGTCCGGCACCGACTCCCCCCAGCACCCGGCCCCGCCTCCCCATTCTGCCAGCATGTTCATCTCCGCCAGCGGCACCTACGCAGCCCAGGACGGCGGAGGCAGCGGGGGCCCGACGCTTTTCCCTGCACTACACGACACTCCGGGGGCCCCTGGAGGCCACCCGCACCCGCTCAACGGCCAGATGCGTCTCGGGTTAGCGGCTGCAGCGGCAGCCGCGGCAGCCGAACTGTACACCCGTACCGAGCCGCCCTTCGCGCCGCGTTCAGGAGACTCGCACTATGGGGCGGTGGCAGCCGCTGCCGCTGCTGCCGCGCTACATGGTTACGGAGCCGTGAACTTAAACCTGAACCTGGCAGCGGCGGCGGCGGCAGCCGCAGCAGCTGCTGGACCGGGGCCCCACCTGCAACACCATGCGCCGCCTCCGGCGCCGCCGCCGCCGTCCGCTCAGCACCCGCACCAGCACCACCCCCACCTCCCAGGGGCGGCCGGGGCCTTCCTGCGATATATGCGGCAGCCAATCAAGCAGGAGCTCATCTGCAAGTGGATCGACCCGGACGAGCTGACCGGGCCGCCGCAGCCACCGCTACCGCCACCGCCCCCGGCCGGCAGCGCCAAGCCCTGCTCCAAAACTTTCGGCACCATGCACGAGCTGGTGAACCACGTCACGGTGGAGCACGTGGGCGGCCCGGAGCAGAGCAGCCATGTCTGCTTCTGGGAGGATTGCCCACGCGAAGGCAAACCCTTCAAAGCCAAATACAAGCTCATCAACCACATTCGTGTACACACCGGCGAGAAGCCTTTCCCCTGCCCCTTCCCGGGCTGCGGCAAGGTGTTCGCGCGCTCTGAGAACCTCAAGATCCACAAGCGCACTCATACAGGTGGGTGTCTGTCCCCGTCTGCGCCGCTTCCTGCGCCACCACAGCTTCTGCCGCTGCTTCCGTTACTCTTGCTCGCCTTAATTTTCCCTCCTTCTGCTGCTTCTCTTCGCATACGTATAATCTGGACATGTGACTTCTTTTTTTTCTCTCCCCCTTCTTTTTTTTCTATGAATAAGTAATTCGATAGCACACACAGGCCCCGCGCTGGGTTCCCACACCGCGGAGTCTCCAGCGCGCGCACAGCCCCTCCGTCGGGACCGGCAAAGCGCTCCAGCAGCCGCCGCCACCGCCGCCCGGAAGCAGCAGCAGCAGCAAGAACAGGAAGGTGCCCAGGACGGTCGGCAGTCCCCGTCCGTCCAGCCAGGAACTCGGGAGGACGGCGGGGAAAGGGGCATCTGAGTTGGAGCCACCTTAACAGCGCCCCACCCCCACCCCCTTGGTCACAGATCCCAATCGGTTGCCTTGCTCCTGAGAGCAGGCATGGGGACTTGATGCAAGCATTGGAGTCACCAGACCGAGTTTGGTTTGGCCCCTCCTAAAGGTTCTGGGGCAGGGTGCAAAAGGCAAGGAAAAAGGAGTGCGTCCTAGGAGACCCGCCCCCTACACACACACAAACACACACACGCACACAGGTTCACTGCCACACAGCCCACATCTTCACACTCACACAGCTCACACAATTTTACACACCCATTCCCATTCACTGGGCAACCATGTACTTTCACATACTTACTTTCCATATATTTTCATTCATAGTTTCTCATTTACACACCTTCATGCAAACCTGTACATCGTCACACAGTGCTTTGTCACATATGCCCTAGAGAGTGCTGGACAAGTTGACTTCTGCCTTTTTAAATAAGGTTCTAGTTGGGAGAAGATGCACAGTCAACCGCAAGGTCGGTGGAGTAAACTTCGCCCTGGAACTTGAGGGAAGCCCCAGGCACCGTGGAAATTCTTCCCATCGTCCCCGAAAGCCATGTATTTGGGTGTCACGACCCCGGATGAGGGAGGATGCGACGCGGGGTGAGATCGCTCCTGTATGTGGTGTACCCCTTTGAATTGATGAGCACGTTGGGTGGAGGCGCTGATGAGCGGCAGTGCAATAGGGATTTATAGGGACAATATTACTCCTCCGAGGACACTTAAGTAACTGGAGTTTACGTTCAGTAATTACTTGAGTGATTTATCAGCACTGCAGCGATGAGGAGGCAGCCACTGGGCGTGGGCCTCAAAACCAGGCCAGAGACGTGACTGAGGGTTAGATTTATTTGCCGCGAGAGCCGGGTTGGGGCAGTGGGAGCAGCTCAGCCCGTTGGACTTTTGCTCCTGTAGGCAGACACTTTAGAGCAATCAATCTCTAGATGAAGGGTTGGAAGCATGTTTTTCAAGGAACCATATCTCTCCTTATCGCGATCTGTGTGCCTGTTAAGCCTCTGTGTCCAGCATTTACCCTGGGGCTGGGGTTAATGACCACGAAGAAAGCACGAGGACCCGAGTGGTGAAGCCTTTCCCAATCCTGCCCCAAAAGGAAACCTAAAAGCTGTGCCGGCGATCTCCGGCCCTTTCCACCTTTCTGGAAGGGAAGTGAAGCTTTTCTTAGTGGCTGCCCCTGCCCGGGAGCTGAAGGCAGTTTCCGCTCGGTAAAACAAGGAATTGGATATTTATGGCGCGAAAGCCAACGCGGAATCCTAGTCTTCCTGCGCTTGCCTGGGCACAGGTTTGGGCCGACCACATTCTCCGCGTCGGCCCTGCGGGGTTGGGTGTTTCCTCCAGGAGCTCATGGTGGGTAGGGGTGACCCTGGTCACCCTCACTTGAGCCAGAGTCAGGCGCTGAGGGCACCCACAGCAGCCTTATTTTCTGGCTAGTCTAAGTCCTTCTCTCTCTCCCCCCTCCCGTTGATCTGTGGGGTTCAAACTCTGAAACCCGAGCCTTCTTGTTTTGGTAGTCAGTCCCCTTAGCCACTGGGCATTGTGTCCAAAGAGTGAATTTCTTAGATTTCTATGTTACTCTTTTTATACCTCTTTGCTTTGTCTTTTGAAAGTTACTTTGAGGATGCTCAGGGATCCTAGAAGAGATTGATCACGAGAATAATCAAGGAGCCTCTCCTGCAGGCCCATTTCCTGAGCCATGTGCCTAAACCAGTTCTCTTTATAACACCCCCCTTTATAACTTAAGTTATTAGAGAAAGAGAACTGGTGGCACCTGGAAGTCACACACACACACACACACACACACACACACACACACGATCTGAATTACATTAGGATTTTGCTCACTGCCTTGTTAGGCCCCCTGAATAACATGAGTAATTTTATTCCTTTTCCATTTTATTTTTTCCTTCCACATTCTTCCAAATTTTCTTCCTTTTCTTACCTGTCTGTTTCTCCCTTTCCTGGGCCTAATTGCTTCCCATTATCATAGGCAATGTAGGAGTCAGTAACGTTCAAAGCATTTACCCTACATGTAGATTATACAGAGGAATTCTAAAAAACTAACACACATTTGCATTGCATGAATAAGTAAAGTGAGTTAAATCGCCATGAAGAAGGCTGATTACAATGTATTGGGTATTTTTGTTTTGTTTAAAATCCTGTTTTAAATTAGTATTATGGCCAACAGAATACAGAAATCAGGAAAAATAACTTGATGCTTTGATAAAAGGAGTTTGTTGCATTTTCTCTTCAGAGAATTTTAAAGGCTGTGATCATCACTGGGATTGCTGATTTTTTTTCTCTCTCTCTCCTTACAGCTCAATATAGGAGGTACTGTGTATGAGTATGTGAATGCTATCTATTTTTACTTTTAAAGTGTTTACAGGTAGGGTAAAGGTATATTCTGGGCATCTGAATACTTTAATATTTCTTACATGCTCAAGTACTAAAACAGTTGTTGTTTGTAAAATGTTCAAGAAAAAAACCACAAATCTAACCACTGAAGCAAGAGAAAAAAGAAAATTTCACCATAGAAATTTATATGTACTAATCTGAGTCTTAACACTGTTAAAAGGCCATACTTAGTGTATCATCATAGGAGCTTCTGAAATTTACACAAATGCCACTTTATTTTCTGAGTCATCTAAATATATGAAAATACTATGTTATAATAATATGTATTCTAGTAATAATATGTATAAATACTACATATAATAATAATATGGCTCATACAGTTATGAACTCAAGTGCATCAAGTAAGGTGAGGGAGAAAATTCAGTTATTCTGTTATCTGCTGTCTTACTTGCTTTTAACACCGAAGTATAATGTTGCTGAATTTCTCTAGTTTATCTTAGTAAGAATTTATACTTCCTGGACCAGAGGGCCTTGGTTTAAAGGTATTGTATTACTGGAGTGGTTAAGTCAGTAAAGGGGAGGGGTAAGCCAAGAAACGGGTTAAATATTTCATCTTTTTTGACTATTAAATAATGTAGAAAGCTATTAGAAGAAGCTTATTTGTGGCATCAGGTAAATGGTAGCGTCTAGCTAGGCTTGGAGTTTTTATTAGTGTTTACTGAGTTATTGGTCTGTTGTGTGCCTAATCTCTCTGCAAGTTGTGAGGAAACGCAGGCACCAATCACCTATTTTCTGCCCAGTGAGGCTTGTAAAATCTACTGGTGAGATTGGGTTTTACAGGTGCCTTTATTTCTGAAAAGAAAAGGATTGTTTTATTTCATTTCCTTTTCCAATTTCAAATCCTTTCCTCCTGCCTTTTTCTACCATTGAAATCCTAAAGAACATTTTAAAACAAAAATGCCATTATTAAGAGTTTTTCTGACCCCTCCCCCATTTACTTTTACTTCAGTGTATATGTTTATTTTTCTTTTCTTTTTCTGTATCTTTCTTTCCCCTGTCTATGAATTTGGAAGCATCATTTTCTTTAAGTGTTTAGCTTGGTGGAAGGGATGAATCTCTTGTTTATATTTTGTTTGTATGGACCCTTAAAGAAGTTGGTGTTATATGGATTCTAAATGTGTTTCAATATTATATCCTGGACCTTGTTTCAGCTGCTCTGACCCGATCCCTGGTGGTACTGCAGGGTCTGACATGAATCCTTTCCCAAACTTCGAGCTGCCACTGCATGGATCTACAGGTCTAAGGAGAGCCTCTAGGCCCATCCCTGAATTATCTCTTCCCCTTTTCATCCTGTAACATAGCATTAGGATGGTAGTTGGGAAAATGCATCCAAGATTTCCCTCTCATTTCCGGAAAAGAATTGTTAACCTTTTCTGTGTTTTGTTTCAGGGGAAAAGCCTTTCAAATGTGAATTTGATGGCTGTGACAGGAAATTTGCCAACAGTAGTGATCGAAAGAAACATTCCCATGTTCACACCAGTGACAAACCCTACTACTGCAAGATTCGAGGCTGTGACAAATCTTACACTCACCCGAGCTCTCTGAGGAAGCACATGAAAATTCACTGCAAGTCTCCACCACCTTCTCCAGGAACTCTAGGTTACTCATCAGTGGGGACTTCGTTGGGTGCCCCCTTGTCCCCTGTGCTGGAACCAAACAGGAGTCGATCCAGCACTTTATCCCCTCAGGTTACCAACCTCAATGAGTGGTATGTTTGCCAGGCCAGTGGGGCTCCCAGTCACCTTCATACACCCTCCAGCAATGGAACCACCTCTGAGTCTGAAGATGAGGAAATTTATGGGAACTCTGAAGTTGTGAGGACTATACATTAAGAATTTATTCATAATAATAAATTGGAGTCAATATCCTGGCTTAAAACAATGCCTCGCTTGTGATAAACCCTGACTCAGAGTTGCCACCAAGTCTAATTAGCTCTATTTATTATGGTGTTTGTACATTTAATTAATTTAATTAAGATATTTGGACTTTTTTTTTTTTTTTTCCTCCTTTAAAAAACAAAGAAATCTACCCAAGCTAGACTTTTGTAGTACATTGCAGGGGGACAGAGCTAGAGGCAAATTGTATCAAGGAAAATGAATGGAGAGATTAGTTAATCAAGATACACACTGCCAACAGAATATTTATACATATATATGTGTGTATGTATATATATATGTAGTTTTTTGTTTTTTTTTTTAAGGAGGAGAAAATTAAGTCAGATTTTAACACAGAACAAGGCCCTCTGCAGTTCCTGGAGTGCCTCTTGAATCCCTTAGACACCATAATGTGGGTTGCTTTGAAGCTTCCTATTTGGGCCCTAATTCTGTAAAGGCCTCTTAATTATAAACCACACACTTGCTGCATTGTCAACAGATCTTGGACTCTACCTATGGCTAAACATATTTATAAAAGTCCTTTAAGTTCTAATATTTGTAATTTTTAATTTCTACTCTTCTCAGTCTCATCATAACAGTATTTTTATACAGGGTTATTCAGTACCTTACTTACATGATTTAAAGATGAAGCAACCTTAACATTTCCATATACTGTGCTACTGTACTGTTTAAGTAAAGGTGGAAAGGGAAAAATCTGCTGCAATAGACTAACTGAAACTGTGATATTTTATAAAATGGAAGAGATTCACATGCTTTCTTTTCTTTTTATACTTTTTGTTTTTCCTTTACTAAATCAATCTGAAATTACAGTTTCTGCCTTTCTATTGTTTTTAAACTTCTTGTGTAATACAAAGATTATGGTTTAGATCATAAGTTTTGGAGGATGCTAGAATTAACAGTTTGAGGAGGTGTGATGTTGGCATCATGCCTGTTTTTTAGGGAAGCTGTTGTTTGTAAAACAGGTCAATCCTTGTATACTGTTGCATCAACCTTTTAAAAGTCTATGTTTCAATGCCTAAAACTCCATTTTCTTGCAGTTTCCACCTGAACACTGAGCACAACAAACTCTTCTATTTGAAAATGACAATGTGTGAAGTGTATGATTTACATTAAAAGAGGAGAGAATTACTATACATATTAAAAATTATAAAAAGTTTGTAGTTACCACCAAACACTGATGAATGTTTGACCTTTGCCAGAGCTGTCAAGCTGAGAGGAAAAAGGTCAAGGACCTAGGACAATACTCTTAGTCAATTTATTTTCGGTTGGTACAACACATCTCATGTGCAAAATGTAGTCCATCATAAACATCGTACAAATATACTAAAGAGCACTAATTTATCCTCAGAGACCCTGAAGACATCTCCTCCCCAGGGTTTGTAGAAATTTGTTTCATGTGTTGTGAGTGGTTGATGTAGTCTTGTCATTGTTAATAACTTGTATGTGGACACTATTATTTGTACAGTTGAATTAATTTATTTGCAGACCATGTTTTAATTTTTTTTCCATCTGGAAGAGTTGAAAGCACACCAAAGAATTTTATTATACATTTTGGTGAAAGATCATCATTTATGATCCATGGTTTATTTAAAAAAAAAAAAAGGAAAGAAAATGGAAAATAATATTTCTAAGCTTACTTGAACAGTGTAATGTGAAAACCAAGACTCTTCCTGCATGTGTTTTTTGCATTGTGTTGATGAGATTATATATAGTCTATAGCTATATTGCTAGAACAGTGCATGGTGCTGCCACTGTGAAAGCCTTTAAATGTTGTCTTCAGATTGTTATGGTAAATACCAATCATACAGACCCTCTTTTATAAAGACCATAAAACTTGAATATAAAGTAATTTTACATTTTAAAAGTTTATTTGATTTTCATATTCACTTTAAAAGTTCTTTCAGATAGACAAAACAAGGTATGAACTTTTTTTTGGGGGGGGTATGGGGGATAATTTATGTATTGTAAACTTAGAACAAAATATTCCTGATTTGTAATGAGTTGTTTTATTTATCCAACTTTTTCAATGGTAGTTTGCACTATATTATGCTACACGTTTATTTATTATGAAACAAACGAATATGTATTTTATGTATTTTCCCATCCAGAGTGACTGCCACAGATTTATTGGTTTCTGATACACCTAAAATAAAAACTTAAAAATGTGTACCTCCAATAGAAGGAAAGCAAGAATGATTATGAAATAATTTAATAAAGGTATTCTTCCTATTTATTGCTTACATTTTACATAATGGCAAATCTGCCATTTTCTTACAAACAGAACAGGTTGATGTAGTAAACCTACAGATTCTCTTCTCTTGGTCTCTTGACTTGTTAGAGTCTCCCCAGGTGTTGAAGTATTTTTACAAAATTTAATCTAGAAATTGTAATGTACTAGTATAAAGTATAGGAGTTGCTGCATTCATTTGTAAATAGAAAAATTAAGGGTAATAATCCTTAATGACTAAATCAGTGGAAAGATGGAGCTACAGTGAAAGGCTCAGACACAAAGAAGGAAAAAGCAAAACTATTGAGCTGTTTAGGAACTTTATTCATCCTGCATGAAGTTTCGTGAACATCAGATTATTATACCAGGATATGAGGGGATAAAAACAATTTTACTGGGGATTATTTGGGGAATTCAGTGAATATAAGTAACAGCTCAGAGTATTTGGGTTGGTTTTAAGGAGAAATTAGATTCATGGCAACAAAGTATTCAAGTGGCTTAGATGGATATATTTGGCTATCCACATTTATTTTAGGTAATAAAAAACTGATAAAAGGCAAATAGTTAAAACAATTGAAAATAATGTCAATTATTTCTTCAAAAGGTTATAGTGGTTTTTAAAAGGTTTGTTAAATGTAGTAAAGGTGAAACAGGTTGCAAAGAGTTGTTTTAAGCAGAATGACAATAACCAACACACGAAGACGAAGAAAAACACACATAAATGAGGGCCCCAATCAATGGGAAAACTTATAGCTCTCTAATGAAGTTTCTTGTGAAAAGAAGGGTGACACAAAGCCACCAAGACATGAATCATTCATGGGAAAGATAAAAGATATCTGACAATGAGCAGAACCTTGTATAGAGTGTATAAAACAAGTTTCCCCTTCTTATTTTCTGCTTTAGAACGCACAATCTCCTACTCCCAGCGTTCTCTGTCCAATCTATAGAGTTAAAATTGACCAGTGCTCGTCCTGCGCCACTTCAAAGTAATTTAGTCCAGAACGGAAGGCTTGGCGCTTGGACAATCTTCATGGTGTGTTAAGATTTCTATGGCAATTGGCAAGCAAGACGTTCCCATCTGAATATGTCTCAAAGAAAGCCACTTATTGACACTAAGTTGGCTATCATCAAAGACTATCTTTCCTAGGCAAAATGTGACCCTTGCAAACACTGTTTAAATAATTAATCTACCTTTGTTTTCCAAGCTAGGAGAATCTTCAAACACATCGTTATTTGTAGTTTATGTGTATTTTCCCCCCATTCAAAATGCTTTTTGGTAAAGCGAATGCTCTAAAATCTAAAGCGCTCAGAAACAGCTAGAGGGCAGGAATTATATTCACTTAAGGAGAAGTAGATGTCCACACAAGCCTGACTGCACTGGGACAGGAAAAGAGCAGGCCCAAAGCCCTTGGAAGCCAGGCCCAACTATCTACAGACATATTTGTATTGCAGTCATTCTTTATGTTGTTCATTTTGTGGAACCTCTTGGAGATTACTGTGGTTTATTCCATCAGTCAACTAGTCCTATAAAATGGGACAAATGGGACAACAAATGTTTGCCAGAGTCTTTTCTATTCCAGTTTGGTTAGGAAGGGAGGAGGGGCATGGAGACAATCTGGTTTCTCAAATGATCATCCTAAGTAAGAGGAAAGGAATGTAGATAACAAGGAAGAGAAAATGAGCCAGATACTTATTAATAAATACATTTGTATACTTTCACTTTTTTTTTTTTTTTTTAACCTGCTTGCCCACTCATACCTAGTATACCAAAACAGAACACATGACCACAGCTGTCCACCTTTCCAGGTCTGAAAGATGACACAGGAGACCCACAATGAAAACACCCTGGAGTTGCCTGCACACTTGTCTTCGGTGAACAAAATCACAAAATCACAGCTCCCTGAATTCCCTACCCACCCAAACACTGCAGAGCAGCCATTGCAACCAATGCAAGTGCCTAATCAGGCAGGGAGTCAGGATTGCTATGGCAATGGGCATTTAGGCTGAGTCCCTGGCAGAGCGTCCAATGCTATTTCAGCCACTCTATTAAGATACACTATCAGTGACCTTTATTTCATGCCACGTTACTATTAGTTCAATTCTTTTTCTCCTCCTCTATATATATATATATATTGATATCCTGGCATGGCAC